CACAGCTGATCGATTGTAGTACTTAGGGATCGAATCCACAGGGAAGGAGGATCTTTTTCCTGCAAAAAGCCTTTGAAATAAGTATAAAGTAAGGAAGTCTAGAACCAAAACGGTTTTGTGGGGATTTGGTAGTGTGTTTAAAATGTGAAAACGAAATATTAAAAGAGACTACGGGAATTAAATGACATAATAACTAAACTTAACGAAAATGACTAAAAATGTAAAAAACGGATATCTAATTGCTTAAATGAAAATCTACTAAAAAGGAAAGAAAATATTGAACTAAAGTTTGAAAGAAAATCGGTGTAAATCAATAAGGAAGAAAACGTTGGGGTTCAGGGAAGTTTTCTCAGGGGTACGAACGATTCAAAAAATTGCTAGAGAGTAAAATTGATAAGATCTTAGCTTAAACTTTTCGAACTGGAGTCACGGACATATGAATACGCCACTGTCGTGATCATAGACAACTATCTCTCTCAACCCTGACCAGTAGGTTTCCACTCTGGCCCTCGAAGAGAAGATATGCATTATGTTTAAGACTCGTCCTACTTCACAAATCGCCCATAGGTAGGTTTCCACTCCTATGTTTGTTTTGCTCTCCCAAACTAGATCTGATACCTGATGAACACTTTCGGTCACTAAGCATCTGGATCAGATTGTAGTTCATGACACTACTCTCATGCAGTAAAAACGAATTCAGAAGAAAAAGTTCTAAGATTCGACTCAAAAGCTCATGGAATCCTCATCGAACATATAAATCCCCATCGAAAATCCCTTAATCCCAACAATAAAACTACTCAGACATAATGAACGAAATTAAAAACATAGTATTAATAAGTAGAATAGAAACCGAAATTGAAAAAGAAAGAACAAGGGTTCAAGAGAACAAATCTCTCTCTCTCTCTAAAAGCTAAAGCAAAAACAATAAAAGTATGAAGTAATGATAGATGATATGAGGTTGTACGATATCCCTCGTTTAGGGTTCCTAAGACATGTATTTATAGTGCTCAAGACCTCTCTGGACGTCACTTAGGGTTTCTCCAAATGTGGGCTTCAGAAATGGGCTTTTTGGGCTCGGAGGTTGATGGCCGAGGTCGAGACAAGTGTGACCGCGGGGAACGAGTGTTTGGCCGCGGTCGGGATGCTCCTGACCATGGGGAATGAGTGTTTGGCCGCAGGTGGAAGTGTTTGCCGGCTGGTTTACGGGACATCTTGCTCTTCGTGTATCTTTTGATTGAACCGTTGGATTGACAAGCTGTAAAGTGCACTGGAAAGCTGATACTTCCATCTTTAAGGTCTCCAAATTTGAGCTGGATCAGACGGTGAGAAGGCCTTCAATCAGGGGTGAACTTCTGACGGTTTGACTCTGAGCTAAAATCTGGGTTTCTATCCATTTTGTTAAGCTTTTCCCTAAGTTACCTGGAAAGAGTTTTGGAACTACAAATACTAGAAAAACGTGATAAAAGTACTTAAAAGCAATTAAAAACATAGAAAAAGTATTTCAAAACGATCCATAAAAGTGGTCAAAATACAGTGTTATCACCGTCTGATACAGCTCAAATTTGGAGATATCAAAGATGGAAGTATCAGCTTCCCAGCACACTTTACAGCTTGGAAATCCAACGGTTCAATCAAAAGATACGCGAAGAACAAGATGTCTTGTAAATAAGCCGGCAAGCGTTTCCACCCGCGGCCAACAGGCCATCCCCCGCGGTCACAAGCATCCCGACCGCGACCAGCTAACTCTGAATTCGGAGGCCCATTTCAGAAGTCCATATCATTTTCCCAGTCTCAATTCTGGAACCCTAGACACCAGAGAGTATTGGAGACTATAAATACATATCATTTAGGTCGTTTTTAGAGGAGAGAAGAGGAGAGACAAAATACTTTACAGAAATTTTACTTTAAGCTTTGTTTTTAGGTTTTA